AAAAGGTGCAAATGATACTTAATGTATCAATTAATAAGACTAAGTTTGATACTTGCACACCTTGTCTGTCTGAAAGAGAGTCCTGATGCAATCTGAAGGCTTAAGTTGATCTTTGCTGAAGTTGGTCAATAAAAAAGAACCAGTTTGAGTCAGAGGATCTTGGTGAATGGAAAGTCAAGGCCGAAGCCTGGCGCGAACTTAGGTGTCCTTAGGAGCATTCTAGCTCGCATCCTCATCTTCTCAGAATCTAACAGAACCGCAGACTGAAGGCGGGTCACTGATGTGAGGCCTTTAAGGTCTGACAAGATTCACGCCTCTCAGGATGGGCTTGTCCAATGAGAAAGGTTGAAATTCCAAGCGGGAGGTTGGAAATACTGGGGAGTTTTATGACTCTTTGTCTCCAAGCATGGTATTTCGCATATGTAATTCGATTGGGTGTTGATGCACAAACTAGTAAAGATTCTTAGAACATTAATATGTTGCATAGGTATCAGCATGTAATATGCACTCTCAATTAGATCATCCGAAGATGAATTCATAGAGACCAAACATGATATAGGTGAGGTTATATTAACTAGTGGTCTATCATAACATGCATAAAAGCATACACTACAACAGACAATACACAAGAACAGTAATGGTATACTCAATGACCTGAAGTATATGCGTGTTCATTCAAAGAAAGGTTTTCCTATGAATTAATTAGAGAACAGTCCATTTCTCTGGGCATTATGTGTCTTTCCTATGAGGAAAATGAGTTTCTCTGCCCGCATTCCTTTGGGCAATAAAACAAGTGATATCAGCATTGGTTGCCATGGAACCAGAGGCCTGTTCTGCCTTTCTGAGGTGTTAGATACATTTCGGGGGAAGGGTTCATAGACCCTCGTAAGTGGCCCTTTGGTTAGGTGAGGGGGCGTTAGATATTATTTGTTAAATATAACAAAAAGTTGTGTCTGATTGGTCCAAATGCTACAGATGGCCATGCAAGAGACGTTTCCCATAGTGAGATGTCGAGCGAGTCAACCGAAATAGAACTTTCATTTGGCCCCTTCATTCAAGTGCTGGGTTCACGAATATATCACCGGATCATCGGTGTTCTCTGAACTAGTTGGCCAAAAAGAACCGGTTCAAAAGAATGATTCGTTTGTGAACCGGACATCACTCCGGACCGTTTGCCTGAGGCTCTGGATTACAGGTAATAATGTTCAGTTTCTTATACAAACCGATCATTTCACTTCATAAGACCTCAATATGTCGCCAGGAGCCATGGGTATTAATTTTGTGTTCCTTTTTTTTTTTAAATCTCAGACGGGCTGCCACTGACTCGCATTTTATGAATCACCAAGGACCATGGCTTCAGCTAAAAATCTTCTAAATGTTTTACTCAAGAAAAAAAAAAAAAAGTCACCTACATCTTGAATGGCCTGAGGGTGAGAAAATTAACAACAAATTTTCATTTTTGGGTGAACTATCCCTTTAGATATGCAACCTGATAAGGCCATGTGAAAACATCTATTCTTGCACAATGAATGTTTTTTAGCATCAGTTTCTGCTAAACAGCAAATACATCAAATAACCCAGACGCCTGTGAAAAATTTCCATCCTGACCTTCACAAGGACACTTTATTCAAAGACAAGAAGCAAATCATCACTCATCGAGCCAAACCAGGTGAGTTAGGGAAATTAGTTAACAAGTCAATCCAAAATATAATGAAAAACCTATAATATTCTGATAAACTACATTATCTGTAATGATGTTTACCTGATTTGATACAACACCATTTTTTAATATCTACAGCTACACATATATAGGTTAATGGATTTCTTTAGACATTACAGAAGATCTTTTGCTGATCTTTACATTTCTGTAGCTCAATCACTAGAATATGGCAACTGTGAATCTTCACTTTCCTCATGATTTGATTAATTTCTGAGGGTAACAATTTGATTATAAAACGATTATCAATGCATCATGATGCATCTTTTTCGCCAATTCTTCTATTAATAATGACTAGGGCTGTGTATCGGCAGCAAAGTCACGATGCGATACATATCCCAATACAGAGGCCACAATACGATACATTTCACCTCGGAATTTACTATAATAGCTGTTTATTAAACACTGCATACAATAGGACCATTGCTAAGTATATGCAGAGCAGGAAGTTGACCTCTGCATTATGAAGAGCCTCCATAACTGTACCACTGTATAACAATATCGGAAATGGATTATGTTTCATATTTAACATTGGGCACTCCCCACCAGGTACAATATTCTGCTTGTTTGTTTCTTGTTTTTAAGCCCATAAATAACTCTGATTGTTTGTTTCTTGTTTTTAGGCCCATAAATAACAGTGTACTCAATCTAATAAATATATTGTAATGTACTTATTCTAATATACTAATTAAATAATCTTTAAACTGCTGGTAGGTTATCATTGCACAAATTAACACAAGCTAACTCACAGCGTCACTGTTAATAGAGAAATGCGGCAAAGATAGAGGTAATTCATACATACACAATCTCTCTCTCTCTCTTAGGCCCGTAAATGAACAAATTAACACAGACACAGAGTATTACACTTTTCTCTGAATAGAATATCCCACCGGAGATCGCTAAACTTCAAGTTTACCAGTTTTTTCAGAAAGCCAGTGTCTTTATCCACAGTGGAGAGAGAGGACACGCACATGGTTGCTAGGCCGATAACATTTTAAATCTATTCAACAGAAGCATTCAAGTCTGAAATAATACAGAAATTGAATAATCAAATGTAAAAATACACACGACACAGTCTTTAGTGTATTAATTACAAATAAATTGATTAGTATTAAAGCTACAAAAGTTACAAAAAAGAGCAGTGAGTGATTCCCCCTTTTTGATTAACAACAACAAAATTCAGTCCCAAAAGTGTGTGAGATATGGGGGAAATCCTAAATATATAAATAAAATAAAAATTAATTTTGAGGGTCTTAATGCATTTGCAAAGTTTTGTTCCCTTATTAAATCCTATGCATTTTTTTTATGTATCTTTTCCTGGTCTAAAATGGACCCCGAACATGTTCAGATGGTTAATTTTATATCAATCTTTCAGGTTCAAATTTTCCAAATTTATGTAAACGAAAATAATGTGCTCTTATATTTTTTAACTACTTGCATGAAAGGTACACTATTTACCATAGGGAATAAAACCAAAGAAACAACACAAGCTGACTTTTATGTACTAATGCAGGGCTGTCCAAACTCGGTCCTGGAGGGCCGGTGTCCTGCAGAGTTTAGCTCCAACTTGCCTCCAGTGTTGCTAACTGCTTTCAATTGAAAGTAGCTAAAACTGGTAGCTAAATGTCACTAGATGACATCACAATGGCAAATTCACTGATCTATATAAAGATGAACGTAGATCAGTGGGCAAGATGAGAACTTAGATAAGGTTTGTCCAAGAAGTTGCTATATTTGTCCCTAAACTTTTGAAAAAAGTCTCAAAAGGGGCGGGGAAGTCGCTAAATCTAGCTACAAAGTAGCTAAATTGGCAACACTGCTTGCCTCAACACACCTGACTGGAAGTTTCTATGCCTAGTAAGAGCTTGATTAGCTGGTTCAGGTGTGTTTAATTAGGGTTGGAGCTAAACTCTTCAGGACACCGGCCCTCCAGGACCGAGTTTGGATAGCCATGTACTAATCAATTTACACTAATTAATTCTCTCTCTTAAATTCATTTAAATCCACTTATTGCAGTTTAGCTGAGGCTGTTTTTCTTGTATGGCTTTTTTGTTGTTACTATAACATTGATAGTATTATATCTATAATTTATATCTCTTTTCATAAAATGCTATTATCTTGTTGTTTCTGTACTCTAAATCTCCAGGAGAAGGGCCAAGCACACGCCTACTAGCATTTGCATAGGAAAATAACTGCTGAAGAGTCAAAAAAGACGTTAAAATTTGTATGATCTGAAAACATACTCCACTAATCACAAACAAACAATACATTTACACAAATACAGCTGACCTGAAAACTGACAAATAATCACATTTCTAATGATTTGTATCCAAACGCATCCTCAAAAACATGGCTTTGACCAAACATGTATTGATTATATCTAGTGCACAATTTAATGCAAGAACTGATGAATGTAAATGTGTACCTTGAACGCAAATGCATACATGCATAAAGTTAATTTTAGAAGTCAATTTTTAAAAAGAGAAAGGTTTTCTGAATAAAAAACATCTGTAAATGTTTCTACATAAAGTAGAATAAGTGTCCTAAGATGATCCACCATAACAATTTAAGGAGGAACCACAAAAAAACATACAATACACACTTTGCATATCTGACTGTGAAATTACCTTCTTAGCATAACAAACCCATTAAAAGAGCACAAGATTGGGAACTTGAGAAACATCCTGAAACCTCACTATCACTGAAGGTAGGCCAACATTTCATCAGTTCACTCTCAGCGCAGTTTAACAGGTCAGTGCTTTTTCATTCATGAGGGATGAACAGCTGATTACTAATTATGCTGTACTTTAACAAACGCAAGATTACACTTTCTCAACTGTATCACATCATGGTGTCAGTAATGGAAATTACATTAGCATATTTCTTCATTTTATGTATGTTTAAGTAATAATCTACTGTTATGATTTGCCTGTTGATATTGTAGACAGATTTGCCATTTTACTGTATTATGTGCTTATATTTTCGTAATTTGACTGCATAGCAAAGAGCACATATGTTGTGTAAAACTGAAAATATATATTATATAAATTTGAAAATAATATACAATTTTAACCTAAAAAATAATAATCAAGAGTTTTTTTTTATTTAATTTTTTTAAATGTTTTTCCAGTGACAAAACCACTGGCAAAGTGATGGACCAAATTTGGCTTCATCTGCTTTTTCTTTCAGGTAAAACAGCATGCAAAACATTAAAACACATCATTGAAATATGTAACAACATTACAAAAGAAATTAGAACAGATTTGCATATTCTTGCTGTATTACATACAACGATATTATGACAAAATGCAATAAAATTTGTAGGCAAGAGTGAGACAAGGAGAATTAGCCTAAGCTCAATGTAATCAAGTCAAAAATAATTCAGATTGTTCACTTACAATGGATAATTAACGCAAGGAGAGAACCAAAGAAATATTACTTATAAAAACAAGTTATGTTGCTATCAGCCGGTTATTATGAAGATTAATCGAGTAATAAACTCAAGTGAAGAATAATATAGCATGCTTTCATTTGAAAGAAAGTAAAATATTTTGAAAGAAAAATAAAAAGCTTTTAAAATAATACAACTAATGACTGGATCAAAACATTATATTATTGAAATACTTTGTCAAAATACATAATGTATAATGCATTTATGTTTTATGTCTTTTTCATTACTTGTGATGAAGTTTATAATAATACCAGCAGAGGACGTCAATGCACTGATAGTTGAAGAACAATATTAAAATCAAATCCTTATTTAATCCAAACTATATTTAAAAATTTAAATTAAATAGCTTCTCCAATATTTGACCAATGCTTTACGACAGAAACGCTACAGTGACTGAAATGTCTTTATCAAAACATGCAAAACCAAAGACAAACTCACTCGACAAGCTCTCGTTCAACAATGACCAAACAAACTATAGGTGTCAGAATAAAAACAAGGTGACTGGGACTATTACAGCCAGCCAACTGGAAACTTTCAGTAGGAAAAATACTAAAACCACTGTATTCTCTTGCCAGGACTCCTGTCATTAACTCTGTGTAAACCACAAGAGTATATTCTGTACAAAGAGTTTAAGACGTGGGAAAATGCACAGAATTACTGCAGGACACACCATATTGATCTGGCCACCGTTCAGAGTAATGAAAACTGGACGAAGCTGCTAGAAGCTGCAGGGGAACAACACTTTTATGGCTTTGCCTGGATCGGACTGTTCAATGACATCAAAAGCTGGCGCTGGTCTTATAACGAGGAGAGTCTGGTGTTCGAGTCCTGGGGTCTTGCCCAGCCAGATAACTACGGTGCAGGACAGGAGTGTGCTGCCATCTTTCCTAACGGAGCCTGGGATGATTTCTACTGCACCATCGAAAAATATTTTGTGTGTTATGACGGTGAGACACACGTATAATCACTCTTTATTTGATGCTCATTAATTCAGTGTATGAATACAGACACCAATATAATGACATTGGGGTGGGAAAACATTTACATCATAAACCAGTGTTATTTCAGTATCACTGAGATGCTATTATAGCTTTTCTTTTTTGATATATATTTTCTGTTCTCATATTATTTGAGTTTCAGATGTCGGAACAATTAGTATCTTCACATCAGATTTGATTTAAGCAAATTGCTTGTGTTTTGGCACATGTGTAACTACTATTCTCTACGATTTACACAATAATTACAACTTAATGCACATGGCTTGCTGATCAAAACTGAGGAGTTGATTCTCAGTGAAAGTGTCACAACTTCTAAACATTCTTTCACTGAGTGAGCCATCACATGCAAAATGATTCATTTATCAAATTATCATTAAATTATTAAAATCTGTCAGATGTGTGTGAAGGCTATATGCCATAAATATCTGATACAGAATGGTTGTAATGTCTGCTAAGTTGGCAGATGGCTTGCCATCGGAGTTGCAAAAAGGCGGAAAATTCCTAGTAAATTTCGAAAAGTTTCCAGGATTTTTTGGAAACTTTCAGAAAACTGTTGTAAATGTTTTGAAAGTTTCCTGAAATGTACCAGAAATTTTCCAACCCTTCTTGCCATTGTAATGAAATAAGAATCAGGACATTTGGAAGCATGTACAGTATATGCAGTTTGCCCAGCACAATCACTACCATTTTTGAACAAGGAGGAACATCACAAACAGCACGTTTATACGTTTATACTTGTACAGTACATTTATCTGTAGAAATGTCTTACATGTAAACTGAAAATTCACAGTTGCTTGTTGTGGAAGAGCAATAGGAAGATATGCAAGAATGTGTGATGGTTACGGGAAGACAATAGAGTTAGTAAAAATGAATTAGCAATGGTGAATTTTCAGTTTAAATGAAACATTTCTAGAAAAATAAATGTACTGTATAAATAAATTTTTTTTATTTTTGTGTACTACAGTATTGACTTTTCCCAATGCATTTTTACCTACTGTTGAAATATCTATCAAACTGTAAATGTCTACATAGATTATTTATTTCAGTTTTAGTTATTTTAGTACATCAAGATTAAAAAAAAAAAAAATCAAAATGAGAAATGTTTCATTGGACACTAGCTGAAGTCATTAAATTTAAGTTTTTTAAATATTTTATTTTATTTCAATTAACATTTATTTTATTTCAGATAATAAAAATGTTTTTCATGGATTTAGTTTAAGTTCACTATAAAAGCCCAGTCATAAACTTTTGGTCAATAATGATCAAACTATAAAGTTTTACAAGTATTCAGTACACAGAAATCTCTTTATTTCGATACAGAAAATGCTGAAAGGAATGATAAACTTGCAGTTCAGATGCTGAGAAGCCACATAAAATAAAAGACTCGTCAGGCCAATTCAAACCAGTATCATTAGTAAACAGTAGATCAAAACAAACAAAAAAAACATCATAAAATAAATAAAAGGTTGTCAAGACAAATTTTGATGTTGGCTTGAGAAAGCCTAGTTGCAAAAGCTTTAAGTTTGAAACAGTTTTAGGGTTTGAATGACAGACATACAGACAGGATCTGAACCATTCTCGTTCCATTCCGTGCCGATCCGGCCCAGACAACATCGATGTGGTTTTGTTTTCTGCTTTTTTTTAAGCAACAGCGAGAAACTAGTAGCCAGGAAAAAGACAAGTGACTGATTGACACGCATTCTGCAGCATGGTTCAGCCTGACAGATGAAAAGCGGCTATAGACAGACAGACAGATACAGTTTGAACTACTTTTTATTTTGAAGCAGTTTTACATTTAAATAAGTTTTAAAGAAGCTTTGAGGGTTTTTGGTTTCTCTATGTGGTTGCTGTTACTAGCAATTTCTGAGTGAAAATTGTTCCTACACTAATTTTTTTCAGCATGTATTAATGTTTTCTGCTAGTAAATTTCACAAATAATTACAAGGAAATGGCGAGTAACAATAAATTAAATGTGAAATTTTGAAGAAAAACAGAAATCGTATTTTCTTGAAAAATTTACTCCAATTTTTTACGGTCTTTTTTTTTTTTACTTGTACATGAATAATGATAATGATAATAAATGTTTAATTCTTGGGTGAACTATCCCTTTAAACTCCCATTTCATCCATGCTTTAATACTAGGGCTGCAATGATACACCTGTCTCCCGATTTCAAAACTATCACAATACTTGGGTGCCGATATGATATGTATTGTGATTTTTAAGAATTTCCTCTAGAGATGCACCGATTGAAATTGTCTTGGCTGATTGACCAGCAGATACTGATTTTTGCTGATTCTGATTTTCTTTAAAGAAAACTATCATTGACAGCATACAAACAAAAATCTACCTTTTTCAATGCAAAATTTTATTTTCATAATAAAATAAATTATTAAACATTAAAATTTCCCCCAAACTGCGCTAAGTTACAAATGTTCTCTCACTTAAACAACTCTCAAAATAAAGTGCTCTGTCACTGGAAAGAGGTAGAAATGAGTTGCTGTGTATAACAAAACAGATGTCATTTCCCACTAGGTTTATAAATGGGCAATTTTTTCTTAACCTTACTAAATGTATGTACTATCTTTCATGTCAAATTCTTAAACTGTATCAATTAATTCAGTTAGAATAATAAGAAACTGTAGAGTTGTTACCATTCAAATGAAATCAGTATCAACAAACTCCATCTTTTCACTGCGGAGTAAACAGAACCTGCTTCTGAAGTGGCATTAGATGCATTTACACAGACTGTTTGATGAAGCCGAGGTGCCATAAATGCATTTACAATGATTCTGAAATGTTCAGAATCGAATCAGAATGGCTGAAGAGAGAATCGTGATCCATCAGAGAATCTTTTTTTTTTTTCTCCAAACCCTAGTAAATATAATTTTAAAATGTCTTGGAATGTAGTTCTGGAACAATCTGGAAATTGTCGGCAGGTTTAACAGGCTCCCACTCGTTAGAGAAAATTAATTTGGCTTTAACGTCTTGACTCTATTTTTGAATTTTCACAGGAAGTACAAACACAACAGAGA